TTGATCGCCAATTGTTGATGCCTCCTGCAGACACACAAATCTCAGGCCTTGATCCTTTGCGGACTCGGAGAGCATAAAGTCAGTCTCCAGAGTAGCACCCTCGATGATATGGCCACATAGAAGTAAGCCTATTGTCAAGGTGGCAGTGCCTACAACAAAACAGGGGTAGGCGTAAGCGGCTACAGGAATTTTACCTTTGTTCCACTCGAAGTAGTACGTCGCAACCGCAAGGAAAGCGAGAGCGCTTGTCTGGAGAACGACTCCGAGGGTCGCCCATGCCCATAACTCTAACGGCGAGACGGGCTTGGAGCGGGCGTTGAGAGACAAATTTGGGGGCAGATCCAAAAAAGCTTCGTTTGCTTCAAAGTCGAGTATGTCTTTCAAAACGCCATCATTTTGGTTGCCGTGATTGTCGTTGTCGTTCCTTTTGTTTGTGATGATACGTGCTTCGAAAGCGTCCCGGAGAGAGTAGATCTTACCATCGCGAGCAGCGACCACAGTCACTATCCCCGTAGGCTCTCCAATGAGACGCGCCACTTGCTCGCCATTCCATAGTTCACAAACACTTGCGGATGTTGATGATAAGAGCTCCTGTTCGGCAACAGCTTGAGTTTCTCTCGCTCTGTTTGTAAACCAGTCAACGCAGTTGATCAAATGAGGTCAAGGAGATTGAAAAACTTACCGCCCGACAAGGGATTTGAGTCTCCTACCGCCGCCGATGCGGATTGCGCCGATTAGAATGGTGATGATCCCAAGCGGGCCCATAGCCAGGAGAATGTTATCTACCCAGCCCATGCTCAACCCCAGGAACTGAGTGGTGACTTGCTCTCCAAAGAGGGCAAGGAGTGGCGCAAGGTTACTGACGAGATTGTTGGAGAACTCGTCGCCATCAAATTGGCCAATAGATTCCATCTTCACGGCGCGTTGATAGTGTGTTGAATATGGTCCAAAAGTGATTCAGAGGCGGTTTGATGATGGCTGGATGGAGGCTGCAACGGAGGTTGGGAGTCTGAAGTCCGGAAGTTCATACCACTCGATCAGATTCTCCGGGAAATTTGATGCGCTTGCACATTTTCTGCAGATTTGAATGCAGACCGTCTCTATAAGTAGCCAAGACGCCAGCTGACAAAAAAGAACTGCAAGTCTTGCCGGAAACAGCCCGTGGCCGAGACATGGTTACACGACGTGCTGTGAGAAATGAGACTATTTTCTCTAGTTTTGGAAGGAGTTGCGATCGGTAGGCAAATGTCCCAATGAGAGATATCGGTCCATGCTACAGTGCATATGCCCAGTGAGATTCGAGGTTTCTCGGTATTCAGCTGTATGCAAGATACCCTACATCGCTGCCACGCTGGTGCACAATACCGCATGAAATATTGGAAAACTCAAGCAAATACCACATCAATCTGTTGTGTTCAAGACCTCATCGACTCTAGCTGAAAGATTCTCCATAGCTCAGAGCTCGAGACGTAATTTCGTCCGTCGCAATTGGCCTGGTTCAGCATGGGCATGTAATAGCAGGTGCGGGTCATTCCATGGCCAATATGCTGACCAATGAGTACACACCAGCCTAAAGGATTACCGGACAGCTCAGTAGTCGTTGTGATGTCAGTGAAGTGTGATTCCGCCCTTGTTTAGCATCTCCCCGATCTCTTCATTAGCAGGCCGTTGCAGCTGAACTTCATTGTCGGACAAGTCCGCTGGGCACCGCCTACCTCAAGACTTAAACTTTACAGCTTACCGCGCTTGTCACTTCAACATTCAAATCATTGCCTTTAGGAACTTGTCTCAATATATGTCTACTTCTCTCACCAATACCAGTGACATCCAATATCAGCTTTCCGGATTGTGAACTTGTTATCCCTCGTGCGCATTGTGAGCGAAGTAACAGAGGCTCAACAAACCAAATGCTTTCACTATTCTATTCTTAAAAGAGCGACACCAAGCTAAGTAATTCAGCTTAGAAGTATTTCTTTCCAAATTGGCCCCGGTTCAAGAGATTCTTCCATGGCTGCTTGGAAGATCTGCGCGATGCCAACCCTCTCGGCCACCCCACCATCCCAACGAATCCACAACGCCCAGAACAAACAACCATCTTCATAATCATTGGAATGTACTTTAGTTGCTGAATTCAGGCGCATGTGTTCCTGAATGCTCGCCAAGGCTTGTTGTTCGCTCCCGTCACAAGGTTTCCAACACTTAGATAATAGGATCAGCTCGATCGGCTCCGATTCCTCGACGTAATTATCAGCCGAAGCTGTGTTCTTGTACACGCAGCCGCTGTAGTTGTCATTGCGATCGAAAATGTCGAGCACTAAAGATTTCATCTTTGTCGTTTCTTGACTCTTGGAGACAATGGCTTTGAAGTATGCTGTGGCAGTCCAAAACTGCAGAAGTGGGTAGGAATATTGAGTAACGTCAATGGTGTCACCCCGCTGCGAGGGCTTGGTAGTTCCAATATTGCCAGAGAGCCGGCTTGCTGCTCTCTGAGATCTGAATGGTTGTCTCTTGCGATAACCGATGTCATCATCCGTTGCGACTAGGAAGCCAGAATTTTGGCTGATGTCCCAGACAGGCGAGACCTGCTTGGTGGAAGGCTCGTATTTGTACCAAATGATCCAAGTTTGGTTTGAGAGCCAATCATTCTTCTTCTTCGCCGAGGTTTCGTGAAAAGGAACGACTCCTTCGAAGAATATCTGCTCATACCACCCGGCCCATGAGTAGCTAGGAAAGCCATGTCGGCGCTCTGCAGTGTTCATTGTATGAAATATCAAGTACAAATCGAGAGCTGCAACTGGCATGCCTTGGAAAAAGCTGCATTTGCATCGGATGGACAACGTGCGGCAAATACCTTCCATGGCATTGAGAATGTCCGAGGCGTATGTCAACTGGCGGTCTGAATAATAGAACAGAATCGTCGTAAGCGCATCGTGAGTGTCGGTTTCGATTTCCGGCCAGTAGCTTTGTAGCAGAGCCAGCAAGCTTTCATCACTTGAGATGCCCAAATATCGTACTCCTGCATCTTCTTCGTTCCAGGAGCTTGAGCGGCAGAGATAGTATGCCTGATTGTTGGCAAAGATAATCTTGCGATGAGAAAGAAAATACTCCTGAAATCTGTGATAGCCAGAAGGTCAATACTCTGTGCTAGACACGCGTAGAAGCTTCTGCACATCTGACTCACGTCCATGCCCGTCTGGTATACTGAGTTTGGTTCATGTGTACTTCCATCCCTTGTTCTAAAATCAATCTGATTCCTGGACGAATTTCGCTGGTATGTTGTTGCCGTCGAGGTACATCCCCCACACCAGGAAGACCAGCGTTTGCGTCATCACCGCCCGCCGCGATAATCGTACAGAAAGCCTGTCCAAACACAACATCCATGTGCTTGATGCCGGGTATCTTGTCATTGTCATCATCTTGGATCAGACATAACGTATCTACCCAGAGATACCTCTCCCCAATGGCTTCAGTGAACGATATTGCGTCTCTGATGGTCAGAGGAACGTGTTCCCAAACTCTGCTGAGCCCTTTCGGCTTCATCAGATCCCTCATGTTACCCTTCAGCAAGCGATATGTCCCCACTTGGCCCCAAACGTAGCTGAGCGCGATGTATCTGGCGTTTCTTGGTATTATGGTAATGCATTTGTGGAATACGTCGATGACACGAAAGTTTAGTATCTCATCATCCGGGGTGTACTGTAAAAGCGAACAGCTTGAGTGACGGTCTGAACAAACGCTCAGCCATTGACGAATACGAGAGATATCGATGCCGTTGTTGTCGATAAGTCTGGTATTTTTCTCGTCAAAGAATGCAATTTGAGATCCCACGGGAAATCTCACGCTATGAAAGCGGTAGAAGCCGGGATATTTCCAATAGATCTCGACATTGGCGGTATCTAACAGACGATCACTCGTCGAGAGTCCCTGAAATATTAGCTGACAAAAAGGGCAGTGCTTTCTGTCTCGCACATCTGACACATTACCGACCAGCAAGGAAAACCGTTGACTCTCTCCTTTACCGTTCTCATGAAGCTGGCGAAACGGTATGGTGGTACATGTGTCGCAGAGCCTACTCTCAATTATCGATTGCATCTTGGTCGAAATTGCATGTTGTTCGAAGAAATGCTGCAAGTCGTATGATCGGGTCTGGCTGCCCTCATGTGTATACCCAAATGCCTCGCATTCGAAGTGCGGGGAACAAAGTTCGTTGAGCTTACGTGCAGAGTGCATAATGGGTCCGAACTGTGTAGGCTTTCATGCTCTCGATCTTGGGTCCACAGATTGTAATGCTTCATGGCCTACCGGTGTTGGCCATCTGCATCTACGCACATACGGTCGTCCCCATATATCCTCCTGCCTTCCATAGGACATAATCTTACCACCCATTTCAATGCCAGGATCTTAATATTCAGTAAACACTCGATGTTTTTCTAAATTATTGCTCATGAGACTTTAGTTAGCCAGCGGTTGGAAATGGACCCAGTGAACATTCATTGGTGGTCACCGGCCTTGGCATGAGGCAGGCTGAGGGCAAAAGGGTGGGGATGAGCGCAGGACGAAACTCCAAGGCCGACAAAAAGTGATTAGCTTTATGCAGTGAGACTTGGAATCTTGGAAACCGAGTCCCGATCCCGGAGGCGTATTGTGTTGCTAATTCCACCAGGCAAACAGTGCGCGAGTTTGAACGGTTGAACGAACAGAATGTCCGACAACATATGACGAGACAAGCCAACGTGCTGATGCATATGATAAATTTCGAAAGACCTTGGCCATTAGACGACGTAGAACACATCTCTTTCACCAGACTTTGGGCTCGAGGCTCACAGTACTCCAGCCGCTGCAAGACATTCATCTTAGACAAGTCGCACATGCACTAGCAAAACAAACTATTAACATCTAAATCGTATCATATGTTCATGATCTCATCATACACTCAAAAGATTACACTATAGACAAGTTCATGTCACTTCTCCCACATCCACCTTCACCCTCAACCTCACTCAATCCCTCTCCCTCTCCCGCCCCCTCGGCCCACCCCCCAACCCAAGCCCATCCTGCACACTCGCCCTCCTCAAAAACCTCATCCCGTCCGCCGGACTCATCATCCTCGGCCCCGGACTCGGACTCCCTCCCCCCACACTCCCGCTCCTCTCACTCCCAACCAACCCCATCGCCCCTCCCGCTCCCCCGCCGCCCAAATCCCCCAGCACCCCCGCCGGCATGTTCAGACTCGGGATGCTCGCCTCCGGCACCGCCTCCAGCGTCGTCGGCCGCATCGCCCCGGGCGTCGTCATCGCCTGCGGCGGGCCTCGCTCCAGCGTCTCCCGGTAGAACGCCTCCAGCCCCTTCTCGTCCTTGCAGAACCGCTCCACCTCGAGCAGCAGCGCAATCGGGTCCACGGCCGTCGGCGGAGCCGGCGGCGCTGCCTCCTTCACGGCGCCTCCTCTCAAGGCAGGCGACCCGCCCGCGTAGAACACCGGCTTGACCATCGGCGAGCTGATCGGCGTCGGCTCCGGGATCCCAAACGGCGTGTAGCTCCCCACGGGTATAATCCGCCCCGCCCTCTCCACGACATTATTCCCCGCTCCCCCGGCCGCGCTCGCCTCCCGCATATCTTTCAGCTCCTTCTCCCGCGCCGCCGACGCGCGGTTGCTAAAGAGCCGATTCGCCAGCACCAAAAAGTCCCCCTCGTCCGTGATCTCCGCCAGCAGCACGCCCGACCTGTGGATATACTGCGAGTACTTGAACTCCGGCCGGCCCCAGCTGTAGCTCACCTCCACATCCCTAGGAAAATCCGCCGCGGCCTCCATGTCCAGCACGAAATCCAGCCGGCGCATCAGCGCCTTCTGGTAAAAGTGCTTCCCGGGCGCCGTCTGCGGCGCGAACGACCCGGGTTCGTAGTACGTCACGGGCTGCTGCGCCGGCGGCGGCGCCGCGAGCTTGATCACGTACGGCCGCCGGAACGGATTGACCTCCGTGATGGAGCACGCCTCCTTGATGGGCACCTCGACGAGCCTCAACCCGTGCGTCGCCGCCTCGCGCGCCCAGCCCTCGACCACGTCCTCGATCAGCTTCGCCGTGACATTCATCCAGTCGATGCGGATGTGGTAGCAGTTATCCGGGTTGTGCAGTCTGTCGTAGTGCAGGTCGATGCGCTCCGGGCGGTACGAGCGCTTGCGGTGGTCGACGTCGTATTTGATGACCTTGCTGAGCACCACCTTTGGCATCTTCTTGTTGTTGAGCATGATGGACGCCGTTGGCGTGGTGGACCCGGAGTTGGGCGAGTTTTCCTCGTTGATGGACATGGGCCGGGAGATGCGCGGCGAGTCGCGCGGCATCGTTTCTGACATGGGCGTCGACGGGACCGAGAGGTCTTTGCGGCGGGAGTTGAACCACCCGGGCTGCGGCTTGGCGTACTCGCTAGCGATAGAGTAGAAATACTGTCCGTCTCTGAAGGGATGCCGGCGCTCAACGTGCTCAAACAGACCCCCGCGGTCCTTCTTGTCGTCGGACCGTTCGTACGTTTCCACCATGAGCATCTTGCCCAGCTGCTCCGCCTCCTCGCGGCTGTCCAGGTCTTCAAAATTGTCCATGAGCCATGTCGTCATGTCAGAGCCGATGAAGCAGTTGTAGTGTAGTCGTAGATGCCACCGTCGATTCTGCAGCTTCACGCCGCCGCTCTCGACGGGTTGCTGGATCGCTTCGGCCAATGCAGCAAGATTCAACCCAGACTTGCGGAACCGCTCCTTGGACGAAATGAGCTGGCCTCTCCGGTTGCCGTCCATGCCCTCGACCAGCGGAAGGTTGTCCAGCTCCGCCGCAATCACGACGGACGGGTCCTCCGTCTTGTACACGATATCCAGCGGATTCGGGTCCCGTCGCGAGTTCACAGTCTGGTACCGCCTCTCGGAAGGCGGGAGATACCGGTGCTTCTGCCACGACAGCGACAGCCTCCTGATTCCTTCCAACCGCACCTCCTCCGCGTTGTCACCGGCCTGGTTCCTGGGCACGGCAGAGTACCGAGACACCATCGGGATCAACACGAATCTCGCCCTCCAGAACCTCAGATTCTCCGTCATCTCGTCGTGGTGCCCCGCCAGGTAGGAATCGATGTAGTTCCAGTTCCTCTCCGGCTTCGGCGTCGAGATGTCAACCTCCTGCGTCTGGTACCCGGTATCCATCAACGTCCGGATCGCAGGTCTATATAGCGGCCCACCGGTCGCGTTCCCGCCAATCGTCGACGCCGCCGGTTTGCGAATGTAGATATTCACCTCCACCTCGGTCCCGTTGACGCAGGAAAGCTGGTGAATCACGTTACCCACGCTCATGAATATGCTTGTCCCATCCTCCATCGCTTGGTCCCGCGAGAAAATGTCCGCGATCCGCAGTAACCTCTGCCCGAAAGCCTTGGCCACCGATGGCCCGATGACGACCTGGAACCCCTGCGAGAACCTTAGGCTGATGAGCTCGCGCAGAAACTCCTCCCGCGACTTGGGCTCCTCGCTGAGCTCGTCGTCCGCGTTCTGCGCAATCACGTACGGCTGCCGCTGGTACTCGGTGTCGAACTGCGTCTTGCTCGGGAAGTACTCCGTCGTGAGCGGCACCGCGGCGGGACAGCACAGCGCCTTCCACTTCATCACCTTCATCTCCGACGTCCGCGGGAACACGTGCTGCCACCGGCTGTACAGCACCGTGTCGTCGACCTTGTTGCGGTCCGGGTTCGATGGGTTCAGCACCGTCAGCCACGGCGAAATGGCCGTGGTGGGCGACAACGTAGACGGCAGCTCCGGCATCGCCCCGGCTCTGAGCTTGCTATTAAACATCTTCTGGTTGTCGTCCTCCGCCCTGAAAACGTTCGAATGCCGCTGATCGCGATCCTCGAGGAAGATCTCCTTTCTCGCCAGCGACGGCGGCAGGACAGACCCGTACTTGTGCTGCTGGGCCACCGAGCTCTGACTCCGCCCGGAAGACTTCATATTGATGGGGATGCTCGGCGTGCTCGGCAGATCCTTCAACGTGTCCCTCGAGTCAGACCGGAAGAGCCCCGGCGTCATCGACAAGGCGGGTTTGATGACCTGCGGCGACGACGGCCGCGGCATGGTGGACATGACGAGCGGCGTCGTCGGGCTCGTGACGCTCTGCTCCGTCAACGCGCCCACCGTCTCGAAGCTCGCCTCCGCGGCCACGACCTTCGGCGCCGCCACGCCGAAACCGCGAAGACCCAGGCTGATCTGCCGCATGAACTTGGGCGCCTTCGACGGCGTGTTCGCGCCTGACGTCTTGCCTGCGGTACTGCCCGAATCCGGCGTTGACGAGTTCGTCGAAGACGTAGTTGTCGCCGCTGCCGCAGCAGTTGGAGGATGAGCCGCCGCCCTCCTCGCAGCAGCCACAATCTCCGCCTTCTCGCTGTCTCCAATGTTCACGCTCAGCTTCCTCCCCGCAGCGACCGCCGCGAGGCTCTGGTTCGGCACAATCTTCTTCTCCGGCAGACTCGTCCCGAAGAGCCCCGCGTCCTCCATCAGCTGCCTCCGCGTCGTCTCCTCCAAGTCCCTCGACGCTCGGCTGTGCGCCGGCCGCCTGCTCCTCGGCAGCTTCGCCCTCGTCTCGTCGTACTCCTGCAGCTGCTTCCACAGGCTCTTCTCCCCGGGCCGCACGAGCCTGTCCGGGACGAACTTCTGGAACCCGTACACGTGGTCGACCAGCCCGTCGGGATGTCTCTTCGGCGGGATCATAGCAATCTCCTCCGCCCCGACCAGCCTCGCCTTCTGCGACGTCTTGGCCTCCGTCGTCGCCACGGGGAACAGCGGATCCGCCTGCAGCGGCGTTGTCTCGATCTCGTTCGTCTCGAGCACGCTCCTCATCTGCAGGTCGTACATGCGCGCGCGGATCGCAAAGTCCTCGCTCACCGCGTTCCGCCCCTGCTCCTCCTCCTCCTCCTCCTCCTTGGACACGCTCAGCGCGATGCCCTGGTACGACAGCGCCTCCTCGCTCGTGCCTGTCCAGTACGAGACGTGCAACCACTGCGGGAGCGCGTACGACCACTCGTCCTGCGGGTTCGCTATCCTCTCGATCCGGTGCGCGAGCTCAAGGCCCTTGGTCGGCGACAGGCTCTCCGAGAGCGACTGGTAGCTGCCGATGACGGGCGTCGCCTGCTGCTTCGGCGTGCTCTCCCGGCTGCGCACGCTCCTCGTGCGCGACAAGCCGTGCGAGTCTCCCGCCGTCTGCGGGTTCCGGTACCGGAACAGCGGCACCGAGTGCAGCGGCATCTTCGGCACGCAGATGAGGTCGATGCCGATCCCGTTGCCGACGAGCGCCTCCGTCGTCCTCCGTAAGCTCTCGTACTCGACTTCGAAAACGCCCGGCCCGGGACTGATGACCACGATCGAGATGCCCGTCCGCATGAGATCGCGGTCGACGTAGTCATGCGAAAACTGGCTGCTCGCGAGATTGATCGCCTCCAGGAAATTCCCGTACATGGCCAGACTGCTCTCGGCCTTGACGCGGTTACTCGCGACGCTCCTCCCTTCCTCCGCCAGCGGCACAAACGCGCTCCCCGCCATCTGGTGGTGTAGACTAATATCCCGCCGGAAGAAGTTGAACTCCCGCTTCAGCTGGTACAGAATCGTTGTCCACTCCCCGCTCGCCATCTCGCTCACCACAACCCGGTAAAAGTCCTTGTACGGCCTCTTCTCCCCCGAGATCTGCGTGCCTGTGTAGTAATCCCCGTGCACCGTCCCCGCCAGCTCCGTCGTCAGGCCCGTGTCGTACTCCACCCTCGCAAACAGCACAATGCTCACCAGGTGCTTCGCTTTGAGCTTCGCCCACTTCTTGAACAGCGCGGGCAGGAACCCGTTCACCACCTTGTTGAACAAAATCTCCCCGCTGCCCTCGCTGTCAAAGTCCCACATCTCCCGCGCCATCTGTATGAACAGCACGTACCGCGCCGACTCGCTCCTAAAGATCGGCCGCGTGTCCCGCGTGAAGAAGGCCGAGTGCGTCTTGCGCCCGTCCACGTACACCGCCGTCACCTGCGCCTTGATCGTGCCCATGAACAGGATGCTCTGCCCCTTGTACACCGTCCGCTCCGTCAGCTCCCCGATCGCCAGCCGCCACATGTCCGACCGCGAGAGGTACTGGTCCTTGAAGCTCAGCTCCACGTGCGACGCCGCCGTCGCGGGGCTGTCCGCGTCCACCGGCGTGAGCAGCACCTGCGTGCCCTTCTTCATCCCGAACGCGTCCGCAATGTGCTTCACGACGTAAATGTCCACGTTCGGCAGCCGGCTCTTGAGCTCCTTGGACATCTCCTTGGCGAAGAAGAAGTACTTCTTCCCCAGCGCCGCCGCCGCCGTGCTGCCGTCTGATGTCTGCGCAGCCCCGTCGCCCTGACCGGCCCCCGAGCTCGCAGAGCCGCCCCTCGCGCCAGCGGAAGCATGGTCCTTCACAGACGTCTTGCCGTCCTCTGTCCGGATCACGGTGATCGCGACGAGGCTACCGGGCCTGACCTCCCCCTTGACGAGCTCGGGGCTCAAAAGGACCTCGTCGCGCGAGTAACCCTCGTTCACGCCGACGACGCAGCGGCGCTCGAGGCGGCGGTGCTTGACGGAGCTGCTCGAGTTGTCGCCGCGGACCGTGGAGGCGCTCGACACGGTGTCCGGGGAGCGGGGGGACTCGACGGAGGAGGCGGCGGACGCGGTTGCGGGGGGTTCGAGGGAGGTCCTGCTGAACTGGCGCAGGTGCGAGGGCCAGTTTGGCGTCTTGCGCATCGAGGCGCCGCTGCGCAGGGGCGGGGGAGGCATCGCGGGTGTCCAACTCTAGAAATTTTGCGACGGAGCGCTTTCACTCGTCGTGTTAGGTGAGGTATAGGTTCGGTTTCGCAGCCTACTTCTTGCGTTGTCTTCTGTCGGCTCGCGGTCACGGGGGCCCTGTTGTGTGGTTTCGCAGTGGCATTTCGTTCTCTCGAATCGACGGTCTTCTTGCAGTCTTTGTCGTGTCGTTTTGTAGAGCTGCTATGAGTGTGGCCGTGCTTATCAGTCGCGCAGGCGAGCTGTAATTGTAGTGGTGTGCATCATGCTGGGGAGCTGTCGATTGCGACGGCAGAATTGTGGGTGAGCTCGAAGGGTGGGATACACCGCCTGCTTCTTTGGTGACTTCCCCAGAATTTTGACGTTTGCAGGACCCGCTGTGTCTCGGTCTGTCTTACCGGCGACCGAGATGAGACTTGCGATGCAACTTCGTGTACAATTCATTTAGAATTATGTTTGTTAGCTGAGGGTCATTTGCACCAGTCACATATCTGAGTAAACATCGAGTGCCAGGAAGGTTTCTTATTACTTCGCCTTTGCTCCCAGCAGCTAGCTACCTACAAATAGTTGACAACCCAGATACGCCGTCTCCCCCGTTTCCCCCCTCCTAGGTGAAAATAGCGACTCAAAATAAAAGGGCGCTCGCTGTCCTTCTATGCCGTGCCATTCCAAAACGCCAAATATCAGGCTCGCCAGCCCGCATGTAAACCCGTCCCATGCCAGACAAATAGCTGGTGCTGCAAAGCAAACACCGCACGAGCGCGCTCACAGAAAGCAAAGAAGTGTAGATTTTCTTGTGCTTCGGGGTATCAATTCGATGTATCTGGTCTCTCTCACACACATTCTCTCGCTCTCTTCTGACCAAGGAAAAATTGGGTTTGGTGGTGGTACATTGTAATTGCAGAAGCATTTCTGCATGCTGACTTGTCATTACGTCGTAAAGCTCACGGGCTAAACGCCTTGCCCGTGATTTTGTTGTGTTTATTCGCTGGAGTCAACAGCGTCGAGCCACACGCGAACGGCCTCGCGGAGCGCGCTTTCTCGGTCTCGGTCGGTGTGGCTGTTGGTGTCTCCGTTCTCGTGGTCCCGCTCCTCGATGACATCACGGATGATCTCGTCCAAGGCCGACAGTACCACTGTCTTACATTGATCGCGCGGCACTTCTTGAGCCGGCACCGGAATGCGTGTGGTATGGTGCGAGTCGACCGACGCCGAAGCCTCGCTATTGCTTCGGTCTCGCCGCTTGCTGGTTGATCGAGAAGAGTTCGATGAGCTCTGCTTGCTGACCTCACTGCTCTGAGCAATGACCCTTTCAACCGCTTCGATCAAGACTTCGTCCAAGCTCGCAATGGGCTCCTCAATGAATTCGTCATCCAATTGTGTCTCGTATGGGAGAACAGAAGGCGTCATGGGTGCCGCGCTGTACGAGCTCGAGCCAGCAGAGCCGAGAGGGGCCGCCCGATCCAAGAATGGCTTTGGTCGGATAAGGCGGCGATAGCGGATGCGCATGATTGTGTGTCTTGTTGTGTCCGCAATGAGGGCGCTGCTTACGTCAACCCATCGATCTGCGGGCTGCTCCATGGAGTAGAAGGGCTGTGTGATGAAAGGGGTAGGCTCAGCTCTCATAGACTTTCGGATGTCGTCCATCAGGCTGTCTTGAGGAGGCACGGCTTGAAGGATCATATCCTCATGATATCGCTGGAGAAAACCGGCGACATTCATGGGCGAATCGCCGTCGATGGTGATTCTCGAGAACTGCTCGAAGCCTTCCAGCCCGCTGCCAATTCCCGGAGTGGAGAGATATCCGCTACTGGAGGGCGAACTGACGGCCGTCTCGAAAGATGTGATGTAGTCGGGAAACGGAATGTCAACATCTATAACCCCGTCTTCGGCATTGATCGAGGTTTTGACGGGAGACTGAAAGTCACCATTGGGGTCTGGAATTCTCTCAGGGAAAGTGATCTTCTCGGGCGCGTCGTCTATGGCTTGATCGTCGAAGCCCCGTGGCGTGTTGGGGCCGTTGCCATTGCCCTCGGTGTTCTGGGCGCGTTCTTCCGTCCTTCGATAACCTTCGGTTCTAATTTCTCGGACCATCTCGGCGAGCTTGTCTCGGCGGCCATGAATTGATTTCGTAGGGGAGGTTGGCCCGCTGCTGTAGGGGTGGCTAGGCGTTGTTAGGCCGGTAGAGTCCCTCCGCTTCCCATTCCAGAGAGTGCTGATCACACTGCCCCACTTCGAACCTGACATGCGGGAGTCGGTGCTCGCGGAGCTGACATGACCGGAACTTTCGCCTCGTTTTAGCGTCCGCTTGAGGTCGTCCGCAGCCACGCTGCTGCTGCTTCCTGGTCGCAAACTTCGCCGGTTCTCGAACCTTTGGGCGGTCGTGAAGTGTGGAATGGTAGTCTCTGGCGTGATGGTCGTGGTTGTGGCAGCGCTACTCTTCCTGCTGACCTGATCATTGCCAGGGATGGGCAAGTTCGATCGAATTGGGGTCGCATCCGAGACACGTCTTTCATGGCGACTTTCCATGCTGAGATGTGCCAACTGCGGAGGAACACCAGACGCCCGCGTGCTTTGACTGACAGCGCGGGAGTGTGACGTTCTCCTTGGACCGGTTCGTCGGTTGATCTTGCGACGCAAAGACTCTTCTCGAAGAATTGGGATGATGAGCGAAGGGGGTGACTGGGAAAAGGCACCGAAGGACGTGGACGTGCTCGGTCGATGCGTTCGCGACGATGAGATGTGCTGGTGCGATGGCAGGAAAGCTGAGAGGAGAAAGATCAAACGCCGCGCGAGCATCTTGTCTTGGGCGATAATGACTGTTCGTGCCGGCAGAGAAAGGTCTTCTTCACCCTTTGCCTTCTGCTGCTGATGGTGCTTTCTGCGATACCATGCCGGGCTCATCGCGTTCAACCAGTCGGTATGCGTGGCGAGGAAGCCAGTGAGGAGGTTGAAGAAGAAGAAGCCATGCTCTTTCTCCCCTGCCTTTCTCGCCATCCATCTGGCCTCGTCTCTCCAAATGCCCCACCTTCCCTGTGCGGTGATGACACGCTGAGCTCGTAAGCCTGTTACAACCCGCACTCTTGCCAAACTCGCTTCCTGCAAAATGGTGTCTTCGTGTTGCAGGCAGTTCGGTTGCAGCGCAATCACCTTTGCATTCGTTTTGGGGGGCTTGATGAAGTGAGGCTCGTCCCGCCTGCCACCCATGGACTGAGCTCGACCAACGTACGACGAGAAGGACGGAGGGTAAGGGTCAGGTGAAGCAATGTCTGCTTGCTTCAAGAGTGTGCCGAGCGTAGTAGCCACAACTCCCTGAAGATGCGTCAAAGTTCGCATAATGATATCCCAGTGCTGAGTTATGGTGTCCATCCTGTCGTCGACATCGGTTGAGCAGGACGAGTCCAGAGAGTCAAGAGGAAACCCTGATCCTGACATGGTCCAGCCAGACCGACGCGCAGAGCTCATAGATGACGGGAATGACGACTCTTGGTCAGTGTAGGAGCTGGCCCGGAATGTCGATCTGATGGTGGAAGGAGGGATTGGCTGAGCGGACGTCGGGGGCAGCTGAATCACCAGCACGACCGCATACATGGGTGTGCGTTTCTGCTTGGGCTGCGGTTTCTTCTTTTTTGGTGGGTTGTTGTCGTCTGCAGACTGTGGAAAGGGGAAACCTGTGTTCTGGTCGGAGAACCGGCTCAAAGGAGTGTCACTCTGCGCATCGGCATCGTCGTTGGGCAGCAAGACTGGGAAAAGTCGAGTGATGAGGATTTTCCTTCTCTCAGGAAGAGGCCGCGAGTTTGGTGCCGAGGATGTGAATGACTGAGTGGGCTGCATGGGCGAGACACTGTCCGATGTGTATGACTGGGCCAGTCTGCTAGAGCGCATGCTGGAACGGCCAATGGAGCCACGACCATCGCCCATGTATGAGCCCCCATACTCGGGGCGACTGTCAGTGGGAACGATATGAACTTTTGTGGAAGTGCCTTTATAAGCCATCAATTCTGAATTTCCAAAGACGGATCCGGCAAAAGCGTGAATCTCGTCGGTGTACTCGCGTCGTGCGCGCTGGAGGTCTGTCTCAGCCTGAGATTGAGTTCGACCTTGCATTGAGGCCCTTCGATCAAAAGCACCTTGGCGGGGCTGAGGACTGTCTGGCTGGATGACCAGAGGGCGCGATGTCTGATTTAAACTGCTTTTCCTGGGCGATGTTGGATTTCTTTGAGAATCATGAACAGTGCCGATGCCTGATACGGGCCTTTCCCTCGTTGCTGGCGGCTTGGGTGGGCCCGGGTGGCTGTCGAACAGAAGCTGGGCCGGGAACGAGGCCACGGCATCCTGCATGATGAGAAGGCGAACATGACGGGTGTCTAGGTCGATGTCTCCGTCGTAGTCGAAGGCACTTGCGATGGATGCCAGCGGGAGGGCGGAGGCCATGGAAAGTGGGAAGACCTGGTCATTTCGATGTTGATATAATGCCTCGGTGTCGGGGAACAGGAGGTTTCTTGTGTGGATGTCCTCCTGCATAGACTCGAGGGATTGTGGAGATTCTTTGTAAGTATTGTTATTCGTTTGGGATGGGTCAGGAGCGTTTGCCGGGCTCCCGGTGCCCAAATTGAAGAGCTTCCCCAGCATCTTGAAGAAGACGGCTGGTAAAACGATGATGAGAAGGCTCTAGTTGCTCAAAGGTTTGGGGGAAGGGCCATTTTCTCAGCACGGCACGCAGTGGTAATTCAGTTGGAAAAACATTGCTTCTGGCAGAAATTCCATGTGATTGACGGTGAGCAATGTGAGAGACCGTGATGGTGCGGCTCAGGGTCGAGGCGGCGGCATGTGGTGGGTAGAGGCGGGCTGAGAGCAACAGAGTTGAGGGGTGCACGGTGTTGGAGAGGGCCAGCCGGGGTCTGAAGCTTAATGGTAATGAGTCGTCGGAAGGTGGTCGGAGGCTGGCAAATCGGGTCTTGTCGTCGTGTCGGGTTGTGGATGATGAGACGGTT